GCGTACTTTATCACCAACTTTGAATTTTGGGTTTGGTTTGCTGCTACGTTTGCATCTTTTTTTAAATTTTGTCAGGACTTGAATTTCGTTTTCAGTAGTAACATCTTTTGGTTTCATACCAATTATTTATTAATTTTTATTATTATATGATTTAATCAACAGTTGTAGAACATGAAACCATTTGTAATTGCCTTGTAAGCTTCATTGCTTCCACATAAGGTCTTTTGAAGTACGATTGAATTGTTCGCATATAGATGCTTTGAGGTGGCTGTAGTTTGAGTATAAGTTTATTTTGTATTTTTGCATTAGATTTTGAAACTGAAAATTGTAAAATTCCTTGCCGTGATCAGTTTGCAAATTTACTGGCACCCTTCCGTCCTTTAATATAGACTGCATCGCTGTTGACACTATTTCACCTGTTTTTTTCTTTATCAGTACAGCCCATGCATACTTTGAAAAAACATTTATTGCAGGAAGAATAAGTCTATAACCTTCGTTTTTACTAGCGTAAGGCTGCATCTCGACGAGGTTCACTTGCCAAGTCTCATCTATGCCACGCACGTCAAATTTTCGACGAGGATAATTACGTCTTGCTGTCTTGTGAAGCTCCTCGGCAACTCGTTCCATATGTTAAATGTCAAAATTTATTTTTGTTGAATCAGCTTGAACACATAGGAATTTTTTTGTAAATTGTATATGAAAATTTAAATGCTATCTATTTCTTTTTCATTACTTATAATTTTTTTAGTTAAGTAAGCACGATTTACAGCATCTCGAAATCGCTTCGGTGCTGAAACATTGCACAATCTTTTATTATCTAAGTCATACTGTCCATCTGCAGTAAGTTTGTATCCGACACCAGGAGGACCTTAGATACCGCCTTTACTCCTACCTAGTTTACGACCAAATACATCAACACTCATTGTGATACTGAAACAAAGTGACTGCTCACCTTAATATATATACCCTGCCTCACGTAGCTCTTCAATAATTGATATTATTTCATTGTCATGACATAGATTTCCTGCCGATCTTTCAGCTGTGAGTAATCGTAAGCGATCCACAAGTTCGTTGGGATTGTCCCAGTGCACGTAATCTACATGATGTGTTTNATATATGTATATATATACCCTGTCTTACGTAGCTTGTCAATAATTAATAGTATTTCATTGTCATGACTTAGATTTCCTGCCGATCTTTTAGTTGTGAGTAATCGGAAACGATCCACAAGTTTGTTGGGATTGTCCCAGTGCACGTAATCTACATGCTGCGTTTTTCGGGCGATTTTAAATTGTGGCAATGATGATCCTCCGGTTTTATTTGGAACGCTATCGAACATAGAAGCAATCATTTTTTTTAATTAATGACTATTATGTTGCCTAATAGGTTCATTTTTATCAAATCTTCTTCTACGAACACTCGAAATTTTTAAAAGCATATAATATTCTTGCATATTCTCTTCCGTTGTAAGATTTTTATTCGGGTGTTTTTTTATGAGTAGCTCTTTTAATCTTTCAGTCATTGAAAATTTAAGTTTGTCCATTATAGTTACATTACTATTAAAATATATTGGTAACCCTCCAAATTTATATGTTCTTTTTTCTTTTCGTACCGCATACATCAATCCAATAACTTTTTTTGATTATTATCAAGCATTTGCAAATATGAGTTTCTTGAAAAGTTTTATTGATTTTAATATTATTAGTCATATATTGAATAGTTTTATTTATTTCATCAGTATCTTCATTCATATTATCATCACTGTATAGATTACAGATAAATTTCTTTCATTTTTCTTGGTTGTAGTAACAATTTTCTGAAAAGCATCTGTTATTGGTTTAAAAGTTTTGCTTAGAACTTTTTCAACTTTATCTTTTCCAAACTTTAACTATCTTCACTTCTTTTTCACGGCTTCTCTTGCCTTTACTAATCGATTAAGGATGTATTTTTTTCCTTTATACATGTTGATGCTTTTATGCCTTTCGTTGGACTATAAATTTTTGCTATGTATCTTTTATGTTTAAAGCAAAATTGTCAAAACCTTTTCCATATCGACCATTTTTTATCTGTACATCCTTGTTTATAACAACAAATCCATACCAATTATCATTCCAACAGCTAGAGCACAACTCTTTAAATTTAGTACATGGCATATCTGAATTTACATGATCATTATACATATGTCTCAAATTAACTGTATCCTGACGAAATAGAGCTAAAAAATTTACGTTGTCTCTCACAAGATATTTCGGTACTTGAGCATATGACTGACGAAGATAGAAACAGTCTCCATTTTTATGTCTTCCCATGCAGAAAAAGGCTTTTACACTATCTTATTTTTCACAAGCTATATCATCGAAAATCATAATAGAATTTGGTAAGGCATTATCTGGTGAGACTACTGCTTTGCGTTCACTGAAAGGTAAGTACTTCACACTACCTATAGGTTCTAATAGCTCTATTGAAATTTTATATTTGGGTTGATGCAATGACTTTTAATGTACGTATATATTTTCAAATTTCAGTCAGTTAGGATGTACTATTAATGCTGATAAGCTATTGGTTTTACCACAGTTAGATGGACCAAAAAATACAGCACGAATACTATCTGGAAGAAGGACACCATGTCGATTTACATACTTATCTTGTTTCACAATAGCATCAAAATTTGGAACTTGTAATGTTACAGACTGTTCTTTAAATGTCATTTCTGTGCTGTATAACGTTATGGTTACAACTGAACTGTGAGATAAAATGATACTGCCCTTTGTATTCTTGCATTTTTACGTTATACTATGGCTATATTGCAACTGATCTGATGACTGTAAGTATACACGTTTTTTTTCGCTATACTCAGTCACAGCCCAATCTTCAAAGTGAAATGATCGTACGTTGTAAGTGAGAATATGGTCTTGTAAATAAAATCATAGATTCTTTACCTGTAGAAATTCATTTGCCAGGTTATCAGTACTGTGGTCCAGGTATTAAACTTACGTAACGCCTCTATAAAGGTGATCTTGGAGTAAATATCCTGGATGCGGCGTGCAAAGAGCATGAAATAGCTTATTTAAAAAATCAATACGATATTGAGACTAAAAACAAAGCAGATAAAATGTTAGTTGTGCGAGCTTGGCAAAGAGTTAAGGCTTCAGGTTCGAGTATTGGTGAAAAAACAGCTGCTGTTCTGGTAACAGGTGCAATGAAGCTTAAGAGTAAATAAGGTCTGGGTTTGGAACAGAAAAAGAAAAAGAAAAGAGGTTCAAGAAGAAAAGTGCAGTATAAAAAAGAAACTAAGAACTACTATGAACACAGTTACCAAAGCTGCTTCGCATCAAATGAATACTAAGAGCCAAAATGCTTGTAAAGTAATCAGTAGTGCTTTAAAAGGTGCTCGCAATGCAGTTAAAATGTGTGGTAGTAAAAAAAGTATTAAAATTCCTTGTATTTAACGCATTCCTGCTTGAATTGGTGGAGCTTTACTTCTGATTTCTTTACTTTCTGGTTTGAGTGCAACTGGCGCTTTGGCAAATCGCATTGCAGAAATTATGAAGAGCGTTAATGTGGCTAAGTCTGCAAAAAAATAACTAGAAGAAAATCAAAGACATGATAAAACTATGGAAGCTATTGCGTTAGGACAAGGTCTCTATCTTAAGCCTCGTAAAACTGGATTGGATATATATTTAAAACTATTTGGTTAAGGTCAGAAGAAAAAAATTCTAAAAAAGTAAAATTACCTTTAAAAGCTTTAACGAATGTAGATTTAATAAAATTCTCTAAGAGTTTAGAAATTTCTATTTTTCGTGAAGTATTTATGCAAAATGACTTATCCAGTGATGGGCCATGGTATCGTGAAACTGCTTTAATAAATCTTGACGACAAGAATGGACCTGGAACTCATTGGGTGGCGTATCGAAAATATGGCCAGAATGTTCTTTATTATGACAGTTTTGGAGATTTGCAGCCATGTATTGATTCAATGTTGTATAAGGGTGTTAATACAGTTTAGTAAAATCACAAATGATATAATAAATTTAACTCTTACAACTGTGGTCGTTTGTGCTTAAAGTTTTGGCAAAACATATAGAAGCACTTAAAATAGTAAAAAATTCTCAGTTTCACATTGACGGTCTTGGAAGAAACATTAACACTTAGTTTGTTTGGTACTTCTTCTACCCTAGATGTGCAATATTTCCACCTATTAAATTATCGCCAAAACACAAATATGTTCTTGCTTTAGTAGGACTTCTAACGTTTAATTTAATTCCTAATATTGACGTAAATAACAATAAATTTCACGTGGGCGATCAAGTGATAGTTATTCCAACTGGTAGTTATGAAATTGCAGATATTCCGTCATTTTTAGTCAATGTGTTACAACCGAAAGATATAAGTATCAGTATCAAGCCAAATAATACGTTTCGGAGTGTTGTTAGGTGTAGTCATACTATTAATTTCAGACCAAAAGATTCTATAGGATAAAACCCGATGCATGACACCGCAAACTTTATTAATCTGTTAATCACCATGGAAAAAGGTCAGAGCAGTTGGACTAGAGAAAAAGAAGGTAATAGGTGAAGGTAAGAAGAGTGAAAAAAATTTGAGAAGACACACGGTGAAGAATGGAGAGAAAAAGAAGATAGGCAAAAATCAAAAAATCATAAATGTTGTAAAATCCTTTAAAATAAAAAAATTAACTTGCTAAAAAAGATGTTTATTGATCAACATGTCTGATAAGTCAACCATAAGAAAATTCACTATTGATGTTAAATATCAAAAACTTTCAACCAAGGATGATGATGATGATGACAGAAATAAAACGTTTCTTTTTTTTTTTAACAAAATTTAACAGAAAAGTTCTTAACTGATAATTCATCATTTTGTAAACGTGGAAATTATGAACGATTCAAAAAATAATCAAAGGTTTTTATATAGAAAAAAGGATAAAATGGAATACATCGTAGACATGCAAGGCTTCAAAAAGTCTGTCAATGATTACGTGCTTAAATAATTACCTATTTTACCTCTTCATCCAAACAATACTAAAGTAGAAATGTATCCTATCAAAGCACCCTTTGTTTGGCGTAAATTATCGTAATTGGCGTAATATAATAGAGCTTACGAAACCATGTGTGCTCTTCACCATGTCAAACGCATGAAAAACTTCTACTTATATACAGAATGGGAAGATAAAAGTGATGATAATAAAGAGCTGTACACATAAATATTTAAGAACAGTGTAATCCACTCCTTGTCCCACCCACTCTCATCATACATTATACATTTTAAATTAAAAATCTTTTTCAAAATATGTATACACTCATCATACGTAAGTATTTATCTATGTATGTAGATGAACATGTAGATGTGTACATGTATTACCTTAGAAAGGTAACACTTATTTGTCATACCTCACAGATATAAGAGTGTGGTTGGAACTCTCATCCATACATACCAAACAACACTCTCTCCTACAGGGTAACCAGAGAGAAGGAAGCTGTGCACAACCCCTAGCGCTTCGTGTAGAGTCACGGCTGTCCACGCACACTCGCGCACGTGGGCAGGGAGTTGGACGTGTGCTAGATTCGGCGTGTGCTTGTATCGGCCTAGTTTATCTACTATCGTATTTAGAAAAGATTGGGAAAAAAGTGATTTAAAATTTTTTTATATTTTGCAAAGCAAATTTATTTATATCAAGTTTAAACACTAATTAATAACATTTTTGCCGTGTAGATTAATAATCTTTTGCCACTTTTTTGGCAAAACTATACTTTCATCACTATAGAACTTCTTATGTTTCTGGTCAAAAACCTAAACTAATTAGTTCTTGCAAGACTCTTTTGAAGTCAACTTTACCACTTATGTTCTGCAAGTAAGAGACTGTAACAAATAGTAATCAGAAGAGGCAAGGTCCGGGGTATCAAGCTTTCTCAATTTTTTCTAAGTCACTAAAAATACGTGTGGTCTAGCGTTGTCGTGATAAAAGACTATGCCTTTTCGACTGATCAAGTTTGGCTGTTTTTTTCTCATCATCTGCTGCAATCACATCAGTTGTTGACAGTAGAGAGTCAAATTAATAGTTCGATCAGGTTTACGTAGCTTGTTATGACCTAACTAAAATGACCTTCTAGAATCTGTATTTTCAAAGCACAATAATGTTTTTCCAAGAGAACGAATGGTACTACTTTTATATTCATAATTTTCTATGGACTGTTTTTTTTTTAAATGCGCTATAATATGGCTTCATCCAATAAGTATTACTAGCAGCTCTGTGATTTTAACACGATCTATATGGAAAAACTGAAATAACTTATTCCGCAACTTAAAATATCATTAAAATCCTATTTTCATAGGGAACACGCAACATAGGGAATAATTAGAATTAAAAAAAAATGTTTATATTCTTAGAAAGAAGTAATAATGCTTTAAAGATTGCTTTATGCGCACTTTTTTATTCTGTAGTCGTAGTAAGAGTATGTTTACACACGTAATTATTTAAGTGCAAGTACTCAAATGCTACTCTTTAATTATTTTACCTACAGTTCTTAATAAAGAATATATATAATGTAGAGTGCTTCTTTTATGCGTTAAGGTAACAGTGTAAGGGCATGCGTCTAATATATTCCATCATTTTTATAACCTTATTTTCTTAGAATTTATTTTTTTTCTAAACTCTTAATAGATTCAAACATCATGATTATTTGCTGAAAGTGACAGTTTATATAAAGTTTCTGTGCCTGGTTTAGTTAATGCTCAGAAGTTTATTGACAACTGAAATACCTGATGATGGTTTTAGACTAAATTAGTATTACCTTTCCTATAACCATAGTAATACGTGTAATAAAAAGTAAATATCTAGAAATTTTACGAACTATTTGATGTTCTGTACTTTGCAGACTTACTGCACTTGAACTACATGGTGGACAAGATAAATTGAACAATATGCAGAGACAGTGACTATCATCGAAGTGTTACTCTCCTGGGTTTAATTTTTTTGTGGTTAGCTTACTGACCCAAATTGCTAAGTACTTACAAAATTATTAACTGTTAATGTTAATAAGATTTTGTTACCAGTATTTTTTTTATTTTTCTTATTTCAATTTAAATTATATTATTCTTTCATAAAAATGAGTTCATTCCTAGAAACTAAAAATTTGTGAGCACATTAGTTACTAGAAAAAGAACATAATGATAGTATGAGGCCAAAGAAAAGAGAATTTTGATTTTATCATAAATCATTTTTAGTGATTTGTGAAAGATACGAATGATTAAGTAAGTAAATCACATGCAGCAACGATAAATAAATGAAAAAAAGACATAGTTTACTTATGACAAGATGAGCTGAAAGTGCAGCTTTCTCCAACGAAAGTGCCCAAATCCTTAAATTGTGAACTTTTACCACTCCTTCGATCTCCATAAAACTATTTTCAATGGTAGTATATTCCATTCCATTGGGAGTACCCTCCATCAGTATATTTATTACATCTTTAATAATGGCTGCTGTTGTCAAAATAACAAGTGTTGAGAAAAAAAACGTACAAATAGGATCTGCAATATTCCAAGTTGGCTGAAAATAAATAAAATAATGATTTCTTTACCATAAAATAAGAATCATTAAGGGCAAGCCGTAAATACTTTATGTTTTAAACTACAACAGTAATTTCTAATCACTTTTTTAAAGAAAGAGCTATTTAAAAAGGTTAAAGAAATCTAGTTCAAGATTATACTTATACAGCAGACAAATAAGAAATGTAGATATTCTTTCGTGCCATGATATTTTGAATAATCTTCTACAATGTGTCAAAGGTGGTAAAGTTATTTTTGAAAATAGATTATTTGATATTTTGGCGTGGTTTCGATATGTATCTTAATATTTACTGAATAAACAATTGAAAGAATTTATCACGTAACAATAAATGTGTATGGGGATGTGCATAAAGCTGCACATATACACACAAGCGAGCCAGGCAGTGTCTCATGATCCTGCGTCGTCCGATTCGTACAGCCTGCAACCACTGTAAATCCAGTGGTATAAAATACAAAAGTTTACAATAGCTATGATTTTCTCTTTCTATTGCAAACGTGTCTGTTGCGGTGCTCTATTGCGCTCTATGTAACGGCAGCTTTACGTAGAACTACACAGGATCTTCTCACATATTACCGTACAGTCACATCTTCTAACTTCAGGTGGCACTCTTTGTACAAGTTATTCACTGACTGTGTTGCCTATAAAAAAAAGACTCCCTATCACCAGTGTCAACTTCTGAACAGTGAAACTGGCACTTACTGGAAATCGTCCGATTCAGGTTACTTAACGTATTAAAGAAACCTTATATTTTCAGAAATACTTCTTACTAAAAAAGCTAAAATTCCCTGCCCATGTCATTAGATTTGCTTATCTCTGTTTAATACATATTTATGTTTTGCATCAAACAAGCCTTGAAGACCTGTGGAGCAACAAAAAAACCCTTAAACGTAACTACCAAAAAATTTAATCAAAAAGTCTGACAAAAAATAGCAAGTGCTTATAAATACATCCTTTATTTTAAACACAGCTTTTTGAGAGGACTCGCAATTACCAGAAATCAAACCCTCAACCCTAAGAATAATGTTGTTGTTATACGAAGGATGCTAACTACTAAGCCAACACCACAACAAATTATTATTTACTTATCTGGTAAGTTTCTAGTACTAAGAATTTTTAGTCCTATTGTATTTATTGATGAAGTATATTTAACTTGTGTGACTACGTAGGTAAAGTTATCACATTACATAATACCTATATTTTTAGACAAGTCATCGGTGGCTACTGAGTCCTATAACAATTTGTATATTTTCTGCATACATATATTCCTAATACATTATTTAATGTGTCTTCTCGGTGCCATGGACTACAAGGCAAGAGAAGAAAAAAGGGCTGAAGGCAATGAGAGAAGTTAAATGTGTGTGAAGTATGGTTGAGTAAGGGTATGTGTAAGAGGGAGAAGGAAGATGGATAAGCTCGCGACAGATCAGAAACAAACCGAGGGCGATGTCCTTGCGACGAGGACTTAGTTTTTAAAACCTCCAACGATTTACCGGTTTTGAGAAATGTTGGAGGTTTTAAGGTGCGAAGACTTACTGCATAGTGTTTTTAGTATTGTATGGAGCAGCTTGAAGAGGAGATAGCAGAGAGAATTATTTATGTATTACAAAAAAAGTGACAGGTGAGGTGTGAGAAGAGTATCAGCAGAGATTGAGAAAAGTAATTACGAGCAGAAAAGGACAAGTGATAGGGATTTCAGAGAACAAGGAAAAGCAGCCAACTAGAAGAGAGGAGAGCAGCAGCCGATCGGTCTGCTTTAAGTCATTCGTGCAGCCGAGCCACTGCAAGGATCAGGACGAACTTTAGATAGCACCGAGTGACAGTGAATATAGCGATAAGGTAGGTGTGCTGTCAAAAGTGCACTGAGGGTATAATACGGAATAGAGTGTTGGGGAACGATCCAAGCCAACGCAAGTGTATGCAAGTGGGAGTACGTAGGGATACGAAAATCAAAGCAAGCAAGAGCTAGCGTGTGTGGGTTTACATAGAGGTAGGGGTGTTTGAGGTCGTCGTGTGTGCGTGTGTGTGTGTGTATATGTGTGTGTGTGTGTGTGCGTGTAATCCTGGTACCAGCTACAGATAGCCAGGCCAAGGAGCTCAGTAGTGGAGACGACTGGGAGTTGTTTGCACGAAGATAGTTAACCTCAATAGCAGTGTGCCGATATATTCATAGTGAAGAGAGAGATTGATTGAAAACGTATTTATTTATGCCAAGGGTGAGACACCCGAATGGCAAATCACCATGATTACAAATTAGTGTATTACAAAATAACATACACAATAATGTTACAATCAAATTGTTAGGTAAATACAGGCGCAAAATAAATATACACATGAACGCAAAACAGAATAATCTCTAATCACAAATAAACTGCTAAAGACTAATAGTGATCGAATGCAATAATTAGTATGAAAGAAAATGTGTAACAAACAAATATTAATCGAACTTAGGCTAGTTTCCTATCGGTTTATAAAATCGCAAGAACAAACTTCGTGCCATGTTAATTCTCATTATGTAATAGATACTCGTGCAAAGAACTCTAAATACAGCTAACCTAATGCGCAGCGGAATACTGTCCCAAAACCGCATAGCCAATTGCGAAAACGATTGCACATAGGACACGAGTGTCGTGCGAGGTATCTCAAACGAAGAGAGAACGCGCCTTTCGGAACGCCTCAGTCCCTCATTTACCGTGGAAAAGAGATCATGTAAGTAAACTGGTCTCCCTGTAGTAAGTATTTTGTACATACTGACATCCAAAAAATAGTTTCGCCTGACACCACGGTGCAACCACTTAAGCCTAGCATAAAACGGCCTCAATGCAGCATTATGATTAAGGTTAAATACAAATCGAACAACAGTATTGTACAAGCGGTCGAGCTTAGTGACCAAATACCCAGAAAGTCCTGCGAAAACCAAGCACGAATAATCAAAATGCGGCCAAAGAAGGGCCGTAGCCAACCTTGCCTCAAACTCGCTAGAAAACGATCCTCCCTTACATCGTAAGCGATAAAGGGCACCGTGTACCCGCGAACACACAGCGGCCACGTGCTTATTCCAAGTGAGGTCATTGGCAAGGCGGACCCCCAAATCCTTAACACACTCATGCAAGGGAACAATATGCCCACCCGCTTTGCTAGACGGTAACGCCGCCTTGTCCACGCGCATCGACTGTTGGTGGGTACCAAGCAAGTATATATACATATATATAAATCCAGTGG